AAAAAAAAAAAAAAAGAACAGACATGAAACTAGAGTCCCTGTCAGTTACCATCTAGTCCATCAGTCCTTGCCACATAGTGGTCTTTGTGACCCTAAAGTTCTGTGTGTCCAGAGCAGAAGTCACCTTTGATCTGGGCAAATCCTGGTAAGAAACTTAATTTTCCTTGGCCACTGCATGAGAGTCAGAGATGAAGGGACCAGTCTGGGCTGGTGCTTGGTTTCAGCAAACTCTGAGCAGGTTTGCTGAAACAATGACAAAGGGAGGAGCTCCTCCTAAGATTTTTCTGTGACCTTAAAGAGGAGGAACTGAACCCTGTCTCCACTTAGGTAGTCTGAATGTCAAATCTGCTGTTGCCAGCCCCTCAGGACAGAGGAAGCTGCAGCATGTCAGTTTTCATTAAGCCAACCATCAATTGGACATATGCCAGGCTTGAGAAGCTAAAGCTGGATAGAGGCCCTGCAGTCTTTTACTGCTATTCTTAATGGGTCTGGTAAACCTGCATTTCAGATCTAAGAAGAAAATGTCAAGAGAGGAGGGTTGAGACACTACACTGTACAAAGGAAATAAGCTCTTTATAAAGCCTGGTTGATCCATAGGCCGAGGCCCCCATAATTGCTATGGAATCTTGTAGGATTCATTCCTTCTGGCCAGATGTTTCTTCTGGTGATTGGCCCAACCTGTCTCCAGTACAGCTGTTTGATGGATGCTGTGATTGCTGTTGGTACAACCCTGCCCTCCTGCTTGTGGCAGTTCATCTTCATCAATATCAGACTTGGCCGTCACTGTCTTGGCTTCACTCTGTCCTGTCCATTTGAGGCTTGGAGTTCTTTGTCCCTGGGGAAGGCAATCCTGCACATTCCTGGAAGCAACCTGAGGACAGAATCCTCACCCTGCTAGTTTTTGTTGGAGACAGGCGTATTCATGTATGTATGTGTGTAGTGGGACAATAGTACACACATTGCAAGTAAAGTGCTTGAAACATGGTATATGACATATACACTGTGAGGTTTTTTTTGTTTGTTTTTCTCCTTTCCGTAGAGTTTTATTTGGCTCACAGTTTTGGAGGCTGAAAGTCCAGCCTTGTGCAGGCTCAGGTTCAGGCTCAGGCTGGTGCCTATCCTTTCAGGTCATTAAAGCTTGGTGATAACCAGGACTTGTTTTTTTTTTTTTTTTTTTGGTCCGGTCGTGGGGCCTGAACTCTGGGCCTGGGCACTGTCCCTCAGCTCTTCAGCTCAAGGCTAGTGCTCTACCACTTGAGCCACAGCGCCACTTTCGGATTTTTTCTTTTTGCTTATGTGGTGCTAAGGAATCGAACCCAGGGCCTTGAGCATGCAAGGCAAGCGCTCTACCACTGAGCCACCTTCCCAGCCCACTTGTTTTTTTTTTTTAAATAATAATTTAAAAAATAATTTTATTGAGCTAAGTGGCAGTGATGCATGCCTATAATCTTATGGTTCAGGAGGCTGAAATCTGAGGATTGCAGTTTGTAGCTAGCTATGGCAGCAAAGTCTATGAGTATCTTTTCTCCAGTTAACTACTAAAAAGTTGGGAGCAGAGCTGTGATTCAAGTGGTAGAACACCAACCTTAGGTGCAAAAGTAAGGGAGAGAGCCCAGACCCTGAATTCAAGCCCCAATAATAGTACACACACACACACAGAATTTCATTTTTTTCAAGTATTGAATTCAACCTCCAGAGACTCTGAATTTCCATTCTCCATTCTTCAGGATGCACTGGCTCCAGCGCCAGGCTGGAGTCCTCCATGCCTGGCACACAGCTCCCTGGGGTGCCTGGACACTGTGTTTTAGGCACTTTTTTTTTTTTTTGGTCCGGTCGTGGTGCCTGAACTCTGGGCCTGGGCACTGTCCCTCAGCTCTTCAGCTCAAGGCTAGCGCTCTAGCGTTTGAGCCACAATGCCACTTCCGTCTTTTTTCTCTTTGCTTATGTGGTGCTTAGGAATCGAACCCACTCAGGCTTGCAAGGCAAGCGCTCTACCACTGAGCCACCTTCCCAGCCCCTGTTTTAGGCACTTCAAAGCATCATCTAATCCTACCAATTCTGCAGCATAAGTAGTATTTTATAGGTGAGGTTTGGGATGATTAACTTTCTTAGGTTCTACAGCATGGATTTGAACCTGGTGCACCTGCCTGTAAAGGTGACAGGTGCTCCTCAGGGCTGCATATGTGGTTTTCAGTTGAAATCACAGCTTGTCCTACCCAGGATGTCAGTATTGTGAAGCTTCAGGACTCTCCTCTATCACTTCAGGCTCTGGTCCATGGAACTAGAGTTAATGGGGAAATCCATAATTCAATGAAGGCAAAACATTTCGGTTCTTCTCTCTGTGTGACCACTTGGAGCATATTCCACCAGTCAGCATTAGCCTTTTGCTGATTTTTCTGTCCTGTATGACCTTATCGAAGCAGAACTGAGCCATATTTCCCACTTAGGGAGGGGACAAAGTGAAGGGTTCTGACCAATGGGAGTGAGGGAACTTGTGAATAAGGGGTTATAGTCATTTTGAGGTGAAAGATGGGTATATTAACCTAAGTCAACTCCCTCAAATACTGTGTGTGTGGTGTGGCATGGCAGTCCTGAGGATTGAATTCAGGACCTAGACACTCTCCCTGAGCTTTTTTGCTCAAAGCCAACATTCTACCACTTGAGCCACAGTTCTACTTCTAGCTTTTTGGTAGTTAATTAGAGATGAGAACCATGAACTGGGTGGCTTCAAACCACAATCCTCAGACCTCAGCCTCCTGACGTTATAGCTAGGATTATATGCATGAGCCACAGGTGCCCAGCTCAAATACTTGTTTTAAATGCCTTCATAAACAATGCCTAAACAGTCAAAACAAAGTAATTATCTAGGTAATTTAGGCTCATTTCTCCATGGGTTTGGCATTGGGGCTTAGGTCATTAGATTTTATGAGTCTTCCCCAAAGGAACCCAGACAGAAAAAATTAACACTGACAAAGCTGTTTTCCTCAGCAGCAAGCTTGCTGAGAAACCTGTTTGTGTTTCACATTGGCTGGGGGACTCCAGAGGTGACTATGAAGCTGGTAGTGTTTAGCTGCAGTGGGTCTACCATTTGGGCCTAAATGCACCAGTTTTGGGCCCCAAGGTAAGTGTAGTCTGTAAACATCAAGCTCTGTACCTTCAACATCCTTTATCAAGGAGTGGCCCTCTGGTCCCTCGTGGGATAGCCCTTGGAAGGAGTTGATGAGGAAACACAGTGGACGGGGCGGGGCCTGTACGACTTGGACTCACCTACAGGGTGAGTGCGTGTGAGTGAAGGGGCGTGTCTGGGCCTTGGCAGTTGGAGCCAGGAGGTGGTTTAGGCGCGTTTCTTCACATACTGAGGCCCAAAGTAACAAGCCGCGCTGAGGTCTGAAAGCTGTGGGCGCGGGTTCCCCGGCGGGAGGGCGGGGCGGGGCGCGGCGGGCGGAGCCCGGCTTCCGGCCTGGCGGGGGCGGGCCTCCGGGTCTCCATGGAGACGGCTTCCAGACACCCGCGGGCGTTGGGAGCCGGTGGCGGCATGGACGCGGACAGCCTCCTGCTGTCGCTGGAGCTGGCTTCGGGCAGCGGGCAGGGCCTGAGCCCGGACCGTCGGGCCTCGCTGCTCACGTCGCTCCTGCTGGTGAAGCGCGACTACCGCTACGACCGCGTCCTCTTCTGGGGCCGCATCCTCGGCCTGGTCGCCGACTACTACATCGCGCAGGGCCTGAGCGAGGACCAGCTGGCCCCGCGCA